CAGAATGCAGCAGTGGGGCATTGCTGAGAATTCCTTGGAAAGTTCATTGAACACTGATGCTAACTAAGCTACACTAATTGTCAATGAGTTTCCAGCTGCAATTCAAGGTGTTGTTTATAACCTATAAAGCTTTATCTGCATATCTCTCAGGGTTTCTGCCTATTTTTTCCGAGATCAGTGGAGCTCCTTCCCTGATGATATTCCAAGAATTTTTAAAGGCCTTACAGTAGGAGATTTGAGAAGGCTTGTCGGTAGTGAAATATTTTTTGTTTGGGGGTGGTGGTGGAATATATGGGGTATAGTTTTCCAAATGCTTAAGATGTTTTCTGTTTTAAAAATTAAAGCTGAACAAAATTATTCTGGAACCAGGTGGCCTTTACATCTAATAAATAATAATAATGCTTTTTAAGTGTCACACATTTTCCTACCTTTTGTTTCAATTCCTCGTCAATTTTTGAAGTCTGAGAATCTGTGGCTATGGTTTTTCCTTTCAGTTCTTCTACCATTTCCTTATGTTCTCTGAGAGAATTATTAGCCTCATTCAATTGTTCCTGCAGTTCCAAATTCTTCAATGAAAAATAAAGCCACATGAAATAAAACCACATTTAAATTAAATGCTAATCCAACAAAAAGTATCTCCCCAAAGGTGGCAGCAATTGAATTCTTACCATTGGAACCAGCTTCTCTAGAGTCTCACCTAGATGGTAGACAGTTTGAGTCATGGTATCCTTCTCGGCTTGAAGAACCTCTACCTCTATTCTCAGATGCTCTTTTTCTTGGCCAATATTTTTAATGTCTTCTTCAGTGCTGTGAAGCTTCTGAACCAGCTCAGCATTCTCCTTCTGCAGGACTTCCACTTGAGACTCAAGACTAATTTTTAGCTGCTCTGCGTCATCAAAACTTTCTGCATTCTGATTCGTCTGAAGCAACTGCTGCAGGTCAACGGACTTTGTTTGTAGCTGTTGGATTTGAGAAAGAATGTTTATGAAATCGAACCTATCAAATGTCTCTGATTTTTTAATTTTCTATGAAAAGTAGGAAAGAATGGTGTATTCTTTCAGATAAGGGACTAGCAGTCTTTTGATTGTTAGAAGCAATTAATTGTGTGGTGGCGGTGTTTAGAATGCAGTACTGAGAGCTAACTCTGCCGACTGCCAGGAGTTCGATCCTGACCAGCTCAAGGTTGACTCCGCCTTCCATCCTTCAAAGATCAGTAAAATGAGGACCCAGATTGTTAGGGGCAATATGCTGACTCTGTAAACTGCTTAGAGAGGGCTGTAAAGCACCATAAAGCGATATATACCATATTTCTCAGAGTATAAGACGCACCCCTCCATCCCCAAAGTGGGTGCAAAGGTGTGTATGTCTTATACTCTGAGTATTGTAGCGGGAGGGGAGGGGGGTTGCTGCAATGCTGATAAGCTGTTCTATAAAGGGTTGTGGCAGCGGCGGCTAATGGGCTGCCGCGAATGGGAGGAGGCAAATGGGCCGCAGCAAAGGTGCATCAGTGAACAGTCCGTGGCAAACAGGCATTGGTGGTGAATAGACTGCAGCAAATGGGCTGCGGTGGCAAACGGGCCCCACCAAATGGGCGTTGGTGAATGGGCACACTGAATGAGTATTGGCGCCAAATGGGCATCATTGGTGAAGTCCGAAAAATACGGGAAGTGTTATTGCTATATATAATCTTTAGAGCAGACTAGTTGTGAAAAATGAATGGGCAATGCCACAGATATCAGCATAGCTGATTTTTTTTTTTTATCCCAGTCTA